TGTTGCCTATAATGTGTGTGTGGCTGTAACCGTGTGTGTGACTGTATATGTGACTGTCTGCCTGTAACATTGTGCATGACTGTGTGTTACTGCTTGTAACGGACTGTGTGTATGTCTGCCTGTAACTGTATGTAAGGGGATGTAGGGATTTTGTAGAAGGGACAGGGGTTTTAAAAAGGTTACAAATTTGTGCAATACATTTTAAAAAATTTAAAAAAGAACACATTAAAAAAATTTAGTAGGTATGTTTTTTTTGTTTTTTTTGGAGGGGGTGCCAAACCCAGGACCCGCCCCGAGTGCCACATGCTCTAGGTACACCCCTGCTGGGAGAAATGGGGACACTGAGACATTTGGTGACACTGGGAGACATGGGGACACTAGGGACACAGACACTGGGAGACATGGGGGCACTGACACACTAGGGACACTGGCTGAGAGACATGTAGACACAGACATTTGGGGACACTGAGAGACATGGGGACACACACTGGGAGACTAGGGGACACTGAGACACTAGGGACACTGGCTGGGAGACATGGGGATACTGTGTCCCTAGTGTCTCCGTGTCCCCATGTGTCTCAGTGTCACCATGTCTCACAGTGTCCCGATGTTTCCCAGTGTCCCCAAGTGTCTGTGTCCCCACGTCTCCCAGTGTCCTTTAGTGTCTCAGTGTCCCCATGTCTCCCTGCTGCCTTCTTCCCCCATCCTTCACATCCATGAGCTGTAGTCTCTCTGCAGGCTGGGAGCTGCTGTCTGGACTCTCTGTGCTGTGTAGCTGGTCCTCCGCGGATCAGTGAGTAGAGAGAGGCAGGTAGATGCTGTAACTTCCTATCCCTACCTCTCTTCATACACAGTGACCCCTACTGGCTGGTGCTAGTATTGCAGAGTAATCTCTGTTTATACTGAGAAAAATATTTGCATTTGTATTGCCGGTATTACTGCAATATGGTCACGGCCAGGCAGCCTCAAATACTAGCTTTGCCTTAAAATACCAGTCAGGTGGCAGACCTAAGAGTAGTGTGTGTAAAAAAAAAAATGTAAAATGGGCCTTTTTTTTTTAAATGGGCCTATTCTATGGGCCTGGGCCTGGGCCTGGAGCTGCAGCTCCATCAGCCCCTATGTTAATCCGGCCCTGCCCCCCACTCACACCTTTCAAATTAAAGTGTCCCTACTTGTCCATTCAAAATGTTGGAAGGTATTGCAGAAGATCCCCCAACTAGTGCGACATCAGTGCGACATCATATATATGATAATGTCAATTTTAATGTGCACACACTCAGATACACATATGCATTCATACACAGGATTTCACAGCCAAAGGAATACACACCTTTAAAATTAGTTTTATATGTAACATATTTAATAAATGTATATTGACACTCAAAGAGCCTAAATACCTAATTTTGCCACTAGATTTTACATATCACAATCTGCTGTTTGTGATCCTGTTCGCCTTACTGCCGACCTCTGTTCTCTCTGCTGCTTCCAAGCCCCGCACTGATCTCCAACACACAATACCTCCTACTTGAGTCCCATGTCACTTTATACCATTTTTAACACACACAGTGCCGACATATACTAGCAGTGCTTTAAAATTTTACAAAGAGAATGAAACTGCAAATAAGAGCCAAACTATTAATTATAACATTGACACTGACCCATGAGTGTAGCAATCCCTCAATGTGCAGCTTTTCCAGGCTTTGGTCAAATAACACATGATACAGAGGGACTGACCTAAGCGAAATTCACTTCTGAGCTGGGTAATGTTCAGATTTGCAATGGCGATGAGGGTAAATGGGGATTATTGTAATATATCTACAAGGCAAATAAAACCAATAACGTGCGCATGTTACAACTCGTTACTTGATTATCTATCTTTGTTTCTTTCCTGTTTACATTTTTATAGCAAGCTGATACTTTACAATCATTTGTGGTTTCAAGTAATCGCTTATAAATGCAAAGCACAGACAAAATAATAATATGACCTATACAACAGCTTCTTGTAAAGTTTAATGGCACAGCATTTAATACAGCACTTGTGCTACTCATTGGGTGCTTTGACAACTTACCCGAAAGGCACAGCACTCAAAATGTTCTGTAAATCAATGAGTAATGTTTGTACAAAGGGTAAATATCATCTTACTAGTGTGCCACTCGTTTAAAGCATCTGTTTAGCAGTAAATTTGGCATAATTATAAGCCCCACTCTCAGAAAAAGCGTGTTAGATAAATAAAGTACATCTGACCATTTTCCTTTAATGGTGGATAAAGTATGAAACAGTCATTGCATACTGAGTCTTTGGGTGCAAGTGCACTTGAGCTGAAATCCTTATTTTATTTCTATTTATAACACCTATAATGTGCATTTAGAGTTAAAAGCTGTCATAAGCTAAGCCATGGCTGGTTAAGGTGGATCAAGTTATTGGGTCATCTCACTGTTTGTGAAGGGATTGGGTTCCTAGTATGACTGCTGGATGTAACTGAGAATAATGAAATCTATATTAACGGGTACATCATGTTTTAGAATCCTGTATGGTTGGCTTAATCCATGAACCTATTCCCCATAATGAGCATTCTGTTGTAATAATTGTACCTCTGTGCAGTTTATGGGTCTTTATCTCAGATATCTGGACTTCCCTGTCATAGTCTGCGTGAGATCACTTGGAGCCTGGACTGTAACTCTATGTATGGCCCATTGATACCCTTACACTAAGGTCCTCCCCTTAACCCTTACACTATCCTAATACACCAAACTACATCCTTCATTACCCTAACATACGTAACATTAACTCTTACGCTACACTTATACTAAACATTAAGCCCTACAGAACCCTAACACTTATTTACGCCTACACTTTTTCAAAACGTGCTAATAACACTGATTTTGCCAGGAAGGCTCCTGCAAAAATTCGTCCTAGGCAGGGAAGCTAAGGCGGGTTGTCGGTCTGCATGGTCACCCACTTTATAAGCAGTCCTGCACACTTTTTGGTTGGACTTGCCCATTCATGGGTCAACACCCATTTTGTGCAACGTACTCTCTTGTCTACCCACATCTGTCCTGGAAGGTGGTCATCAAGGACAGACTGGGATGCAAATTTGTGCCAGGCATTTGAAGGCAGAACAGCCCAATACCCAAAAGTGTGGGTGGTTGTAGAGCCAAAGAGGAGGCATGTTGAATCATCAACAATGACACACACATCCCAAAGTGGACCTGTCAGTTTGAATAGCTCAGGCATAAGGAAAATGCCATGTCTTTGTCTAGCACAGTGTAAGTGAATTTTATGAAACACTTGTTCTGTGTTTTCTGGTGACTTTGTCTCTTGTGTCCTGATAATTGCAATATCAGAAGACAAAAGAGGGACATGACTTTAAGAGGGTGTTGTGTGTGTATAAGGAGACTACCTGTGACTTTGCATGTGTATGAAGACTGCTTGAGAGGTCATATGTTGACTTGTGGTGTAGTGTGTGTGGTAGACTACCTGTGGTGTTGTGTGTACCTGTGTGTAAGGAGGCTCTTTGTGATATTTTGTGTGTCTGTGTGTGGGTGGGGGGGGGGAGGGCTATCTACAAGCGGGGATTCTGCTAGTGAGGTTGCGTGTAAACTTGCAGGTGGGTGTAGGCTGCTTGAGCAGATATGTGTGGTTGAGACTGCTTGTGGGGTTGTGTGTCTGTGAATGTGGCTGTTTGCAGTGTTGTGTGTGTGTGGAGAAGCCTATTAGTGGTGAAGTCTGTGGAGAGGGGTTGTAGTGTTTATTTGTGTGTGGGGATAGGGGCTGACGTGCATGTGGTGGGAGATTAGGAGCTGTATGTGGGGGCAATTATGGCTGTAGTGTGGGGGGTACAGATATTGTAATATGTGAGGGTGATAGTGCCTCAGTGTATGGAGATAGATACAAGCTGTAGTATATAGGGGGATAGGGTTTTCTATGTATCGGGTAAATCTGAGCTGTAGTATAAGTGGATAGGGGCTGTGGTGTGTAATGTCCTTGCTGGCTGTGGAGCCCCTTCTCTGAGTCGGTGCTCGAGCAGTGCAGGCTGTGCAGGGGCCAGCTGGGGAAATCCCTTGAACTCTCTTGTCAGCCTTAGCCAATGGTCATGGAAGCCTACTGGCATTTTCCTGGAGGGCATAGTAAAATTGGCAGGTATGCATTTAGCCTTAGGTTTTTTGTTGTTGTTTATTGTGTTGTCTAAAGAACTCCCCTATGGCCTTGTTTTCTCACAATACACAATTTGTCATTATGTTATATGCATATCAGCAGTATAGCTACCCTCAGCATAGTGTGCCCTGCATTTCCCACTGATACTCAGACAGTTTTTAGGAATGCATTTTGAAAGTTATTAATTACTGCTGTACGTCCTGGCAACTGCTGCACAATGGGAGTCTCTGGGAGGACAAAGTTTCCATGCAGTGTATAAATGTCTTCACCGTATGAATTTAGGTAATGGTAATTCAATTGCTGACAATATCTTTGCTGTCTGTAGATATTAACAGGATTATTCTCTGATTTGTACCAGATTAAAACCCAATGGCAAAATTGAGGCAAGAATAGGTCAATTGAAAAGAATCTCTAAACTTTACTATGATCACAGCTTGATTACATTAATCTAATTTTCACTATCCAGCATAAGCCCTTATAATTCAGAGTTTATTAAATAAGTCTGACCGTTTCATTGGCTTAACGGTTGTCCTTGGGCATTCCAGTCTGAAAAACTGCTACACTCTGTGTCATTAAATTAAAAGCATCCGGTATTCCAGCTTGTTATACTCTGTGCCACATGTATATGTCATTACAAAGCAGAACATCTGACTCTCCGAGAAAGTGGAGAGTTTGATTATTACTGTATAGCTACTGTCTGGTTTATTTTTTTGACCTTCAATACTTCGTGCCTTATCAGACATTGAGAATTGTAACTGGTGTCTAGGTTGTGTTGCTATGGAAACACGCTTAATTACAATTACCGTATATACTCGAGTATAAGCCGACCCGAATATAAGCCGAGGCCCCTAATTTTACCCAAAAAAACTGGGAAAACGTATTGACTCGAGTATAAGACTAGGGTGGGAAATGCAGCAGCTACTGGTAAATTTCTAAATAAAATTAGATCCTAAAAAAATTATATTAATTGAATATTTATTTACAGTGTGTGTATATGATGAATGCAATGTGTGTGTATGAATGCAGTGTGTGTATGAATGCGGTGTGTGTATGAGTGCGGTGTGTGTATGAATGCGGTGTGTGTATGAATGCGGTGTGTGTATGAATGCGGTGTGTGTATGAATGCGGTGTGTGTATGAATGCAGTGTGTGTATGAATGCAGTGTGTGTATGAATGCAGTGTGTGTATGAATGCAGTGTGTGTATAAGTGCAGTGTGTGTGTATGAGTGCAGTGTGTGTATGAATGCAGGGTGTGTGTATGAATGCAGGGTGTGTGTGTGTGATGCAGTGTGTGTTTGTGTGGCAGAGCCTTGGTGGGGGGGTGGGCATTTTTATAAAAAAAAATTTTTCTATTATTTTAATTTTTTTTTCTTATATTATTTTTTTTATTATTATTATTTATATATTATTAACATTTAAATTTTTTGTTAGATTATTTTTATTATTATTATTATTTATATATTATTAATTAATATTATTTAAATTTTTTTGTTAGATTATTTTTTTTTATTATTATTATTATTTATATATTTTTAATTTATTTATTTTGTTGTCCCCCCTCCCTGCTTGATACATGGCAGGGAGGGGGGCTCTCCTTCCCTGGTAGTCCAGTGGCATTGGCAGTTCAGTGGGGGGAGGAGGGGTGCTGGCAGAGCTGTTACTTACCTCTCCTGCAGCTCCTGTCAGCTCTCTCCTCCTCCGCGCCGGTCCGTGCAGCACCTCTGTCAGCTCACACTGTAAGTCTCGCGAGAGCCGCACTATGACCCCGCGGTTCTCGCGAGACTTACACTGGGAGCTGACTGAGGTGCTGCACGGACCGGCGCGGAGGAGGAGGGAGCTGACAGGAGCTGCAGGAGAGGTAAGTAACAGCTCTGCCAGCCCCCAGTCTGTATTATGGCAATGTAAATTGCCATAATACAGACTGACTCGAGTATAAGCCGAGTTGGGGTTTTTCAGCACAAAAAATGTGCCGAAAAACTCGGCTTATACTCGAGTATATACGGTAATGTCAGTCTGGCCCTGAGCGTGCCTTATCTTACCCCACATGCCTGTAAATAAAAATCAATTTACCGTTGAAGCAAAAAATCAGAAGGAACATTTGAGCAACTATTTTTACAAATTTTACTCTTTACATTTTTGTAGAAACATCACAGAAAGATTAAAAAGCTAGTCGAAAATAGTCCATGTGTAGCTCAGCAGAGCACATTTAACATGTAACAATTCCTGTTATCCCATGCAACGTTGTGCTTGGCAGGCAAAGGTGAAGATGAACCATCTTATTTATGAACACATAACTCGTACGAGGAGTTGGGACAATATTGAAGTAAAACAGGTTCTTGATGGGTGAATGAGAATAATAGGGTAGAAGAAAGAAGAAGAAAGAAACACAGGAACAAATTTATATTCTAGAGGTGGGAGAGAAAGAAGAATCTAGAAGTTTGATATAGTGTTTGCAATTGGTGCCTGCAACATTGAGAAACCCTACACAAGTCAATACTCGGCAACAGTTGCGTCATACTCTGAAGTTGTTATTGTCATTATTATTATTTGTTGTTATTATTATGAACAGTACTTATTAAAGCATAGAGGTTGCACCTTTGTTTTGTTTTTCTTTGTACGTTGAAGCACATTCCGATAAATTGTGTTTGTCTTACTCCATGTTCTAAACTACTCCACCGGTGGACTAAGGTCAATTGCCAAGGCATCTGTTGATTCATTTATCACAGATGTTTAAAAGAAACCTCTTAAGCATCTTAGTTTAAGTTTGATGTTGATCCTGATGCAAACAAAAGGATTATAGGAACATTTATTGAATAAAGATCACAAAGTGCACGCTGAAATGAAATTTCTGTAGAAGAGTGATGGTCAATATTATTTTCTCAGACGTGAGTTTCTATGTTCAAAGTTAAATGCCAGAGGTCTAAATATAGGTTAAGCCAATATGTTTATTTATTACAAGTCTTCATTTTAACTTACGTCTCTTACTATTGTTTCATGGCATACATTAGACGTATATCTTTAAACTAAAAATGTATGCGCAAAAAAGAACAGAAACAAGGATGCTTGACTATTTGGAAACCCTTATTTCTTGTATGTAAAAAAAGTAATGCAATAGTATATAAGATGAGAGGCACTCTTCATCTACAGGAGTAGCATTGGTTTCCAAAATAAATATTCTAGGCTGCATTATTCTTACACTATGTCTGTGATAAAAAATACTACATTACTTGCATTCCCTTTAAAGATTGTGAGGATTTTTAACATATTAAATGTTATTAAGCTATTTCTTCTCATGCTTGGTTATAAGAGGATCAGGATGTCCATGTGGACTCAACTCATAAGCTGAGAGTTAAGTCACCATATGGAGGAAGATATATCAGTGCAAAGTAGGTGCTTTTCTGGGGCAAAGTAATACATGCTGGGATTCTATTGGTTTCCATGATCGTTGTTCCTTATTTGTAAAATTGCACCAGTTAGAATAACGTGTTTTGCCTTATGAAATCTCCCCCCTTATATTATATCTTTTTTTAAATCTTCTGTTCTTGTAGAATACACCTATAATTTTCACACAATATAGATCTAGTCAAGAAATCTTTAACCAAAGCTGAGCAAGATAAGAATTTTAGAAACTTTGGAACAATAAGAACCTGGGGTTTCAGCAGAAACATTCAAATGGCTTCCATGATGAATGATTTCAGTTTAAAATATTACCCATTCATTCTGCCGATATATAGCTTGTACCAATATTTGCTGTTTACGTTACCAAGCTAAATACTCCTGACCTCCACAAAGCACTCTACTTTTACTGGAAGATCTCCTCTCGATGGATAGGCTGGAATACTAATCTTGGGACAAACATGTTAAATGTAGATCAGTTGCGGACCATAAATTCATGTTTGGAGCGACATTTTATTTCCCTTCAAATTCTTTATTTTTGCAATGACAGAAAATGCAGCATTTCAACAATGTAAGGCTTGTGCAAAAGCCACTTCACAATACAGGTGTGCTGTACAATAGAGAAAGGAAGGACATATTGTTTAGGCATGTAGTACTTCATATATTGTTTGATTGCTTGTTCGCGTTGCTTCAGAGTTTTTTTTTAAATAACTTTATTGTGCAGAATAATCGGTTGGAGAGGCACCAGCACATATATACATCATACAGTAAGCGGTCTGTGACATGGCATGCTGATACATGTGTAGTTCCGCACTTGATAGATATTCAAGTAACAGCTAACGGAGTCGGCTGCAGGTTTCATCTGATTAGTGCTAAACACACGATGGAGCATACTGTAGTGCAGCTCTTGAAAAGCCTCCTGTGGTGCTGCACTTGAAAGCACATTCTCTCAAACCATGTAAGCTGCAGGGAGGCAGCGGTATTCACCTCCTTTTTGGCAGCAAAGTTGCGTATCTGGATATATCGGAAGTAATCTGTGATGGTCAGTTGTGAGAGTTCTTTAAGTCTCTCGTATGTGACAGTTTGTCCATGTATAAGTGCACATATCATTGAAGGCCAATGTGTTCAATACCCTTGAAGTCCCTGGTTCTCATTCCTGGCGGGAAATTCCTGTTCCTAAAGACAGGTGTCATTGGGGAGAGGAATTTGCTAAGTGAGAATTTCGTAGCGGTCTGGTCCTAGATCCTAATTGAGTTGACTATCGCGGGACAGGTGGTTTTTATAAACCCTATAGTCCTTGGGTAGCCAGATAAAAAATTGGGGAGGATCTTGCCCCGTGAGTAAGGATTCAACCTCTACCTGGCATCGGGAATCAGGCAGAGAGTGCCAATATGCAATTTGAGCTGTTTGTGCAGCCAGGTAGTACAGATATATTTTGGGCAACCCCAGTGCCACTCTATCTTTGGGTCAGTATAGTAGATTATGCGCAATGCTAGGGCATTTCTTTTGCCATGTGAACATATCTATTGTTCTTTGAAGGTTTGCTAGGTCTCCTCTCGTGACGGGCACAGGTAGGGTTTGGAATAAAAACAACAGTCCGGGGAGGATGTTCATTTTTTGACAGATTGGAGTCTCCTCATCCACGAGATAGGCTTGTCTGTCCAGTGCTCCAGGTTCCTTATGAGGGCACAGAACATAAGAGGGTAGTTTTGCTCATATAGTTGAGAGTCTTGAGCTGTGAGTCTAATTACAAGGTAGGGAATGCTGTCTGCTGTTATGTGCAGTTTGTATATGTTGTGGATCAGTGCCATGTCCAGGGCCGCGAGGTGAAATGGCATGGCCATTGATTTTGTGAGGTTTACTTTATAGCTCGATAGGGTACTATAGAGGTCTAACAGGCCCGTCAGGTGCTCCAGATAGGTCAGGGGATCTGACAGAGTGAGTAGAACGTCTTCAGCGTATGCACGACATAAGGTTCAGGGAAGCCGCAACAGGTTAAAAAGGTATGGCCATCTAACCCTGTCGAAGGCCTTCTCTGCATCCAGAGACAGGGCCAGAGAAGGCCTTCCAGAGTCTTGCATGTACCACATGAGCATCTCCCCCCTGCGCATGTTTTCATAGAGCTGTCTGCCCGACATGAAGCCCACCTGGTCAGGGTGGATCAAACGGGTGAGGAGCGGTGTGAGCTTAGGATTTTCACATAGATCTTTAGGTCAGAGTTGATTATTGAAATGGGCCTGTAACTCGCCACCAGTTCATCATCTTTGCCTGGTTTGGGTAATAATGTTAGCTAGCGCCATATGCGAGTCAGGAGTTCCACCTCACTATAAAGTGATTATAAAGGGAAGTAAGGTGGTGGGCTAATTCCTCATTAAATTTCTTGTAGTACTCTACATCATACCCGTCTGGCCCTGGGGCTTTATTCCCCTTGAGGTCCCCTATGGCCACCTCTACCTCTATTTGAGAGATTGGTGCTCTCAGAACTTCTTCCTCCTCTCTGGTCACCCCCGGTAAAGTCACTGCGGACAGGAAGGACTGTAAGTCTGTCCGTTCCCGTGTGGGGGTACTCCGCACGTGTCGTGAGTGCCCGTACAGCTCAGAGTAGTATTGAGTGAATACCTCATTTATTTAGTCTGGCGTTGAGACTATGCTACCTCTACGAGTGTGGATCTTAAGGATGGGTTTGAAATTGCCTCTTGGGCGTAGGGTCCTGGCAAACAAGGAATCCATCTTATTGGATTTTTCATAAAAAATGCACCTAGACCACTGAATGGAACTTGCTACGCCCACCAGAGACAGTTCCCTGATTGAGTGTTCAACTCTGTCATCTTCTGCGCTCAAGGGTTAGTTTTATGCTGCTGTTCTGCTTTCCTCAAAGTAGCTTGTAGCTCTAGTAATAAGCAGGTAGTGTGTTTCATTTTATGTGTCGCCACTTTAATGAAGTGCCCCCTTAAGTACGG